GAGCTGGAAGATTCTACAGGCCAGGGATGCGCAGGCAGAGGGGCCTGAGTTGGAACCTCTAAACCTAGCGAGGCGTCCTCAGAGGAGGAGGGACTCCAGCAAAGTGAGTGCAGAATGTGTGCACACTCAGTCATAGGCCTGCTGGGCTCCCAGTGCTGCGCTCGGGGCTGGGGCAGGGAAGACCATACAGGCGTGGCCCCCAGGGAGCTTCCGAAATCCCCATCGTCATCTGCCATGCATCCGAGCACGTAACAGGGCAGATACTGCACAGAGCCATCCATTCTGCCACTTACTCCCGGCCACCACCCTGTGTTCTTATTTCTGTTGAGGACATAGAGACTCAACAAGTTCAGGGTCGACCACTGAACTCACATCCAGCTCTTCAGTCATGCACGTACCAGGTTTGGCTCTGACCCGGGCTGGGGAGGGAAGCACAGGTGAGGGAGGTAGAGCAGGTTCCCAAACTGCTCAGGGCATTAGGAGCAGAGGAGCACCCAGGGCATCTGAAGGAAGCATGCCAATGACCTGTGATGTGTGTGAAAGGCCAGGAGGTGGGGCCGCTGGACGGGAGTGGACACCTGAGCTGCGGTCTGCTAGTGGGGCCAAGGAAGGCAGGGGTGTGTGCGGTGTTGGTGGCAGTGTAAGGCACTGGGACCCAGGTCTTGGGTCCTGCTCTGCCACTTCCTTGCCATCTCTGCCCCTCTCTGGCCTCAGCCACTTGTAAATCGCCAAGGGCTTCCAGCTTCCAAGCCCTGGACCTCTCTGATTTGGGGACGTGGGAGCAGAGCCTCAGTTGTTCAGAGGCTTTCAGGGTGCAGGCTGTTCCCACTCTGGCTACCCAGGAGTGTTCAGATCTGGATAGGGGCTCACACGGGGGTTGGGTGGAGAAATAGCAGCATGTTTCTTACAGATGCTTCTGTGCTGGGAGAATTTGACTTCTGTGAGTAAAAGCATGACCTGAAAGGCTTCTTCTTTTTTGAGAGAGAGAGATTTTTGCTATAAGGTGTATGCACTCACCAGAGAGACAGAAAGTGAGAAATTGCCCCCCGGGGAGATGGCCACCCTGCAACCCCTTCTCCTCCATTCTTCTCTTGGGAATTTGGGCATGTATGCACATGTGCCCAGTGTGAGTTTGAAGCCACCAGGTCCGGGATTGGAACTGCAGTCAACTATGTGGAAGTCCACTGATATAACCGTTAAGCCATCTGCTGGTCCCTGAAAGGCTTTAAAAAAAAATTGAATTTTTTTTTCTTTCTCATGAATGAGTGACAGCACCTCCAATGAGGTCTTGCTGTTGCAACCCATCCCAGCGTCTGCCCGCCCTGGCCCCTGGACACATGCATGCCCAGTGCTCAGGGAGGTCTCCAGACATGAACCTGGAACCATCGCACATGGGTCAGATTGTAGGGTTGTGTTCTTACTGTACCGTCCTCCAGCCCCCAAGAGGTTTTCTGTAAGGGTAGTAATGGACCCAAGCTGTTTGAAAGAGGCGGCTCCTGACCTGCCTCAGGCCTGCTAGGGCCACACCACTTACCCTTTTGTCTTCACCAGTCATCAGCGAACTTACCCTAGTCTCTGTGGCCCGGGTCTAGTGACTATACGGAAATGTGAATAACTCATGGCCCCTGCCCTGGGGTGGGGGCCCTTACCACAGAACCTCCAACCAGGGGTGGGTGCAGTCCCAAAGCCCTGTCCTCCTGCCCGTGTGCTTGGTCTTTCATCTGCAGATCAAGATATGGAAAAAAGTGATGACCCCTGGCCCAGAGATCCTGTTTCTCCCTCAGCCCTCATTGGTGGCTCCTCTCTGCCTTTCCCTTTCCCCCTGGGGCAGCTCCTGGTCCCAGGGAGAAGCAGCGACAATACTGTCACACAGATGGTGGCAGGCCTCGGCTAGAGCCCCGATGTCCTGGGTCCAAGGCTCACGTTAATGATCTCTTTACAGGTTGGTCTGCCCCTTGATGGTCTGTAAGACCCATGAGGACGGGGGCCCTAGTATCCACCCCTCCCTGTCCCCCCGCAACTCACATGGCCTAGCCCAGTTCTTTGCACTTGGTAGGGTTTTGTGAAGGCTTGTTACATCCTGAAACTCTGGCGTTGGATTATCTAGACTGAACCTCTTACCGTGAAGCTGGAGAAACTGAGGCTCAGAGAAAGGAGGAGACTTGGCTGAAGATGGAAACACTGTGACAGAGCAGGGACCAAGACCCAGGGCTCCTGAGTGTCCTTTCAGCTTATCACCATGCACTGGTGAGGATGGCCCTGCCCTCACTCTGCATTTGGGGGTGTGGCGCTCTGTCTGCAGGTGCCTGGGAAGGACCCGCGCACCTACTGCAAGCCTCACAGGACTCTGAGGGCGGGATGGCTACTGTGTCTTAGCTCACCCGTGACGCCCCAGCTGCACGGCTTAGTGAGTGACACTCCTGTAGAGGTAGCTGTGACTCTGTTTCTCGTATTGTGAAATGGGCGTGAGCCTGCTGGCCTTGTGGAGTTTAATGAGGTTGTGCCCCTCTACCCCCTCCAGCGTGTGATGAGGGCTGGTTCTGACTGTCACTGTTGGCAAATCCCACTGCCAGTGCCCAGGCCTGGCACGGAGAAGGGGTCCCAAGAGAGGTGTCCACTGGACAAGGGGATGGACCAGTGCCCTGGAGCATTTGTGAGCAGTTTTCCCCGGGGGCTCCCATCTCCACTCTGCCCCCTTTCTCTATGCCTCGGGCCCTTGCCCACCAGCCCCCGGTGATGACCACTCCGTGCAGGTATGCAGCTTTTTGCAGTGTGTCTCGGTGAGACCTCGGCAACTGTGTGAGGAGGGCAGAGTGGAAGGCTGAGGCCTAGAGGGGGGCAGCATCTGGGCCGTGTGCAGACTGCCCGTTACATAAGCTGGGGCCCGTGATGGGCACTTGGCACAGCACGGGCTCCGTGCGTAATCACCCCTGGGAACCCAATGCTAACCTCGGGCCCCTCTGTGGTGTTTGTCTAAACCCCGGGAGGGGTGGGTATGAGCAGATCTGCTTGGCAGGGGAGGTGGGGCATTAGGTGGTGGTGAGTCCTGCGGTGAGGAGCTCACCCGGGAACAAAGGAGGCCTGAAGCAACTCCGTGTTTTCCTGTTGGCTCGACATTGGAACACTCTGTCCCGCCTCAGCTGGGACCGAGCCCAGGATGCACCTGGACTAGGTTTAATCTGCAAATTGGCCTCTAGAAAAGAAAGGGGTGTGAGAGCGGGGGGCCCACATGAGGGTCAGAGCCCCACTTCTTGCCATGGGCAGAGCCAGAGTGCAGATCAAGTGGCACCTTTAAAGTTTCGTGTGGGCTGGTAATGCTATCCTGCTCCCTCCCCAGCCCCCAGAGGAAGGCGGGCAGGTCTCTGCGCAGCCCTTCCCTCTCATACTCCCTCCCCTGAAGGCCAGCTGGGGGATGGTTGGGAGGGCAGGAGGGCAGATGGCACAGAGCAGGGCCAACCACATAGCCTTGCTGGAGTGAGGCATGGGACTTCTGTCTCCTGGGCTGAGTGGCCGTGGTGTGGGGAGGCTGTCCACAGTGTCCCTGCCCACCCTCGTCATCAACGCTCACACCAGGTACCACTGTCTCGGGAGCTCCAGGCTGTGAGTCTGATAGATGTGGGTGGGTGTGCCTGTTAGGGGTGGCAGCATACATGGCGCCTGGCATCTATGCAATGGCTGTTACAATTGTAGAGAAGGAGATTGAGGCCTGAGTACCTGCCTCGGCCCTCGCCCCCCGCCCCCTCCCCGGCAAGCCCCCGCCCAAGCGCGCAGGCAGC